TGAGGATGATATTAGCGTTGGGTCGTTCATATATGGCTTTTATGACCGCAGGGTATGCTCCTTCTATCCCTAGTTTCTTGAGGGCTTTTATCAAGAAAGGATGATGTATTTTGTCAAATGCTTTCTCTACATCTATTGAGAGGATCATGTGGTTCTTCTTGTTTCTTTAATAGATGTGATTTAACTCATTGATTATTTTGTGGATGTTGAACCAGCTCTGGATCCCAGGTATAAATCCCAGTAGCTTGTGGTGAATAATTTTTTAAAATGTATTGTTGGATCTGGTTGGCTGCTATTTTGTTGAGAATTTTTGCATCCATGTTTATCAGGGAAATTGGTCTATAGTTCTCCTTTTTAGTGGGGTCTCTGTCTGATTTTGGAATCAAGGTAATGTTGGCTGCATAGAAAGGGTTTGGAAGTTTTCCTTCCAGTTCTATTTTTGGAATGGCTTCAAAAGGATAGATGTTAATTCTTCTTTATATGTTTGGTAGAATTCCCCTGGAAAGCCATCTGGCCCTGAACTCTTGTTTTTTGGGAGATTTTTGATTACTAATTCGACTTCTTTACTGGTAATGGGTCTGATGAAATTTTGTATTTCTTCCTGTTTCAGTTTTGGTAGTTTATATGTTTCTAGGAATTTGTCCATTTCTTCCAGCTTGCCCATTTCATTGGTGTATAATTGCTCATAATATTATCTTATTATTGTTTGTATTTCTCTTGTGTTGGTTGTGATCTCTTCTCCTTCATTCTTGAGTTTATTGATTTGGATCTTTTCCTTTTCCTTTTGGATCAAACTGGCTAGGGGTTTATCAACTTTGTTAATTCTTTCAAAGAACCAGCTCCTAGTTTCATTGGTCTGTTCTATTGTTTTTTGTTTTTGTTTGTTTGTTTGTTTCAGTAGCTTGGATTTATTCTCTAATCTTTATATTTTCTGTCTTCTGCTGGTTTTGGGTTTTATCTGCTATTCTTTTTCAGCTCTTTAAGGTGTAAGGTTAGGTTATGTATCTGAGACATTTCTTCCTTTTTCAGGAAGGCCTGGATTGCTATATACTTCCCTCTTATGGCCACCTGTGCTGCATCCCAGAGGTTTTGGGCTGTGGTGTTATCATTTTCATTGGTTTCCATGTACTTTTTCATTTACTCTTTAACTTCATGGTTAGCCCATTCATTCTTTAGTAGGATGTTCTTTTGTCTCCAAGTATTTGTTATCTTTCCAAAATTTTTCTTGTGGCTGACTTTGAGTTTCACAGCGTTGTGGTCTCAAAGTATACATGGTACAATCTTGATCTTTTTGTACTTGTTGAGGGCTGATTTTTGTCACATTAATTGTTCTATTTGGAGAGTGTTCCATGTGCACTGGAGAAGAATGTGTATTCCACTGCTGTAGGATGAAATGTTCTGTATATATCTGGTAAGTCCATCTTGTCCAGTGTGTCATTCAAAGCCACTGTTTCCTTGTTGATTTTCTGTTTAGATGATCTGTCCATTGTTGTTAGTGGGATGTTTAAGTCCCCTACTATTACGGCATTATTATCAATGAGTTTCTGTATGTTTGTGATTAACTGATTTACATATTTGGGAGCTCGATGTTTGGAGCATAAATGTTTACAATTGTTAGACCTTCTTGGTAAATAGACCCCTTAATTATTATATAATGCCCTTCTTCGTCTCTTGTTCTAGTCTTTATTTTAAAATCTAGATTGTCTGATATAAGTATCACTACTTTGGCTTTCTTTTGGTGACCGTTAGCATGACAGATAGTTCTCCATCCCCTTATTTTCGATCTGAAGGTGTCTTTACACCTAAAATGGGTCTCTTGTAAACAGCATATAGATGCATCTTGTTTTCTTATGCATTCGGTTACCCGATGTCTATTGATTGGAACATTTAGTCCACTGAGGTTTAGAGTTAGTATCAAAAGATATGAATTTATTGCCATTATGTTGCCTGTAGAGTTGGGAGTTTCTGGTGGTGTTCTCTGGTTCTTTCCAGTCTTTGTTACTTTTGGTCTTTTTGGTTTTGTTTTTTCATCTTTTCTCGCCTCACAGAGTCCCCCTTAAAATTTCTTGCAGGGATGGTTTAGTGGTCACAAACCCCTTTAGTTTTTGTTTGTCTGCGAAAAGTTTTTTCTCTCATTCTATTTTGAATGACAGCCTTGCAGCATAAGGAATTCTTGGCTGCATATTTTTCTGATCCAGCACATTGAATATATCCTGCCACTCCTCTCTGGCCTGCCAAGTTCCTGTGGATAGGTCTGTTGCAAACCTGATCTGTCTTCCCTTGAAGGTTAAGGACTTAAGTGATCATGTAGAAGCAGCATTTCAGGGATTATGGCAAATCAACACACATCTGGCACCAGTCTTCACCCTTAGCATCCTTGTTCCAACACCAGTGACTATGGTTGTTCTTCAGGGTCTTTTGGGACTTTTGCCTGTCAGGAGGTGGCACAGCCTCTAACAAATGTTATCCTAGCAGGGGAACCGCCTCTCCCCATGTGGCCCAAGGACCCCTTGGACCTTGATCTCTGCTGCTGGGGACTTGTGCTTCCTACCAGTGCACCACCAGGTATTGGGCTAGAGAGTTTCAGACTCTTCACTCCCCCTGTTTATAGTCTTAATGGAATTTAAACCCTCTCCTTTCTCCTTTCTCCCTTTTTTGATTTCCATCCCTTGTGGCTGTTTCCACTCTTCCTTTCTCTCCAGCTGCTTTTGGGGGGTGGGTTGCTTTTCCGATACTCTCCCCCTGTCTCCATCCTCTCTCCATAAGCAAAACAGCTCCCTGCCTTCCATGGCTTCTCTCTCTCTCAGTTCACCCCTCAATACCCTGTACCTGCTGAGTTCTATGGTTCAGGTTGTGCAGATTATTGTGCTAATCCTCAAATCAGTTTTCCAGGTGTACAAGATGGTTTAATGTTGATATGGTTGCATTTCATTGATGAGAGACACAAAAAAATCTTTCATGCTGTTCCACCATCTTGGTCACTCCTTGAATCATTAGTTTTTTATTTATCTTACTGTGTGTTTAATTTGACAGAAGAAAATATGTGTTTAATATTTTTACATATTCTTTTTTTTAATGTTTATTTATTTATTTTGAGATAGAGAGTATGTGAGTGCATGAGACGGGGAGAGGCAGAGAGAAAGAAAGAGAGAGAAAGAATCTCAAGCATACTGATAGTGCCACACTATCAGCTCAGAGCTCAATTGGGTTGCTTAATCTCGGGAACCATGATATCATTACCCGAGCCAAAATCAAGAGTCAGGCACTTAACTCACTGAGCCAGCCAGGTGCCCCAATATTCTTATATATTCTTATTTCCCTCATTTTCTTTTTACATAAAAGGTATCATACTAATATAATGTTTTAAACTTTGGGTTTTTTTGCTGTTGTTGTCTGACATATAACCTCAAATTTGTAATGCATCTTGGAAATCACTACAAAAGAAGTTCACAGATATTTTCCTAATTATTTTTAGGTTGTAGAATGCTACATTATTTGAATAGACCATTATCTACTCAACTAGTCCCCTATTGTTGGACACTTTTGTGTTTCTAACCATTTGTTATTAAAAAATTATGCTGCGATGATGAACCTTCTACATATGCTATTTGGTACTTGGGGAGGTGTGTCCTCAGAGTAAATGTCTAAAAGTAGAATTGCTTGGCACTGGGTAAGTGAATATACACATTTGTTACATATTGTCAAATTCTCCTCCTGTCGTACATATTGCATTAACACCAGCAATGTAGTACAGTATCCATTTGCCCCAATGTCTCATCAACAGAGAATACAGTCATGCCTTAGGTTTTTCCCAATAAATGGCATCTCAGTGTAGGTTTAATTCGTATTTTTCTTATATGAGTGAACTTGAGAAGTTTTTCATATATCTAAGTGTATTTGTCTTTCTATTTCTCTTCCTTGTGTGTTTGTGTCTCTTGTTCCTTTTGTTCTAGAGTTTTGAAGGACCAAAATTCTTGAAATAAGGCAGCAGTCAGCCTTTGAGTGCATGGTAGCAGGTGTTTCTCACTAACTGCTGGTAGGATAATTCTCAACTGAGTCCCTGCCTCCCAAAACATACAAGACTCTTAGAATGTCAGAGCAGTAATAATCCCTTAAGATTAGCTAGTTCAGTCCCCTCATATTAGAGATGAATAAACTGATGTCCAGAGAGTGGGAGGGACTTTCTTTAGTTCAAACAAAATTAGTATCAGTGTGGAACTTGAACTCAATTTCTCTTTCTCCCAGGGCAGCTTCAAATTAATATGCAAATGATTTATATATTGATTGTTGTACTTTTACTGAGATTATCACAAACAACTATTTGGGAAGAAACTGCTCTTAATGTTCTGTATTAGCCCAAATTGGAAACATTGGCAATAAATGTAAAAGGCATCCTCTTGTTAATTCTGCCTATTTATCTTCCTTAGTGTATTTAATGCTCATTTATTATAGAAGTATAAAAATACATAGACTGTTAGAGCTCCATTGAATCTTGGTGGGATCTCATTATGTCATTAGGGAAACCTGAGATCCAGTGATGCAGAATTTATCATAGGGGGAGACCAAGAGGATCATTTAGCCTGGAGCCTCAACTTTACTAGGGGCTTTAAGTTTAGGGATTTGAGATCCTCTTCAAATGAGGTTAAAATGTATAATTACCGTACTTTTGTAACTTTGATGATAGCTTTATTTTTTAATAGACACTCTTAAAATGCATCATGATTTTTCTAAGCTTGTTGTCTCATTTCTGTACTTTTAAAAATATCAGGAGGAGCCTTGAGAGTGACCTGCTCATGATCATCAAGAAAGCCAGTAGCAAAACGGAGCACCTGTGTGGTTCAGTCAGTTAGGCAACAGATTCTTGAGCCGGCTCAGGTCAAGATCTCATGGGTTAGTTCATGAGATTAAGCCCTGTGTTGGGCTCTGAGCTGACAGTGTGGAGCCTGCTTGGGATTCTCTCTCTCCCTCTCTCTCTCTGACTCTCTCCAACTCACACTTACACTCTCTGTCTCTCTCGAAATAAATAAATAAACTTCATAAAAGGAAGCTAGGAGCAGAACTGACACCAGAACACAGGTTTGTTGACCCCTAGACAGGGTGCTTTCTGCTGCACCATACTGCTTCACAAGAGCTACTTGCTGTACTTTTACAAGGCACGTCAACTTACTTTTATTCCAATCATTAAGCTCTCTGGCCAAAAGGCACCACAACCCCATGCCACTTAAACCCACTATCTTGGAGCTCATCACCGGGCCTACTCTTTCGAATACTTGTCTTTCCTGCTTGCCATACTCAAGCAACGAGTTGACCACAATCCTAATAATAACTCCCATTTCTTGAGAATCTTCTATGTGCCATGCACTTTACCTGTGTTCATTCAAATCCACAGAACAGTCCTGCATGGTGGGCAATACTATTCTCTTTTTAGAGATGACTAAACAGAGGGTAAGAGGTTTATCTAAGATCGTACAACTAAGTAAGTGGTATAGCTGGTATTTGAAACCAAGTTTATCTGACTGCAAAGTCTATGTTCAGTCCAATTTACCTCATGTTACCTCTTAACTGAGATGCATGATGAGCCTGAGAGGATATATACAAGGTTCAAGATAAAATCATCTTCATAGAGCACTCAGCCTTCCAGGATGAAACAGCTGGTGGCTGGGACTTAATGAGTTGATAAACAGTTCCTCTGAGGTACTACCCTATGGACCAGTCCTTTAATAGAAACTCCTCCTGAAAATCCAGAAGTTACTTACTTGACCAAGTGTCTTATAATAAGTTCCAGCATCTCTCGGTTCTTTTCAGGTAGCTTATATACCAAGGAATGAATAGCTCCCAGCCGGTAATCCAGGTTGTCAGACTCTGAGATAGAACAGAGAAAGACAGTTTTGCCTTTTGGGCAACTGTATCAAGTGAACTCTCTCTCTCTCTCTCAATCTCTCTCTCTCTCTCTCTCTCTCTCACACACACACACACACACACACACACACATGCACACAAAGACAATTAGAGACACAAAGAGACAAAAAGAGACACAGAGATAAATAGGCACTATGAAATAATGGTAAAGAGAGACCAAGAAAAAAGACTGAGATGGAGAGCAAAAGACTAAAAGACAAAGAGACCAAAAGGCAAAAAGAGAGATAAAAACAAAGAAATAGCCTATAAAGTTGAAGTAGACAACAGAACAGAAAGATGAGAACATAAGACTATCTCTGAGGAAGTGTGAGTTCTAGGTACAGCAGGTTGTTCCCAAAGTTCTGCATGTAAACTTCCACTGGAAACCTTTGCCCACACATCTTCTTATGGTGATGGGGATATGCTCTTTCTCCGGGTTCATGTGAAAATCACTGAGACAACTCAGAGTAAAGATCAAAGGTCCCTTGCCTCCACAAAAATTCATTATTAGGACGAGTCCTATGAATCTTTTTCCTGCACACCACAGAGGGTACCAAGCAAGAGAAAGGTCATATAGAGATAGGGACAGATGCTCATACATACAGTGGCCTCAGCCAAAATTTTTAATACTTATTCAGCTGCCAAACATTTTAGGGTGATTCTTTATGTCTCATTTCCCATGCAATGTTTCACCTTAACCCTCAGGTTTATCATCTACAAAATGTGATGTTAGCACTAACAGATTAGGAGTATTAATTCACAGCACAATTGAAAAGCATTTGAAAAGGCAACGTGATGAAAAAAAGCTAAAACAGCAACTGTAAGGGAACAATTTTGTTGTCTCCTAGTAATATAAGCCAATGCTCTTGTTCTGATAGAAGAGGCATAGTCAATAAAGCCCTCATACCTGTTACATTCCTCATATTAGCCAGTTTTGTCCAAACTACTCAATTTACATTGATTTATGAAAAATAATAGAACATTTGAGTTAGACAACAAGTAGGAAGACTCTCATTTAGCAGTGGACGCAATCTGTGGAGGTATTTTTGTTTTCTCCCCTCACTTTCCCTCAAGCAGTCTTCTAGGTTTATTGCTATGAACATTATTAAGAAGGCAAGACAATACAATTAACTAGTAACATAAATACTTACTGGCAGCAGAGACCAGCTCTTTGTGAAGTCTGTAGGTCATGACAGGTTCAGAAAGATTCCTGAAATAAAGGAACACTGTAAGTTCCTTTGGGGAGGGAATAGCCAGGCCTTGGATTCTCAGTTTTGTGGGCAGCAAGGCTTAAGTTTCTGAGCCCCATAGCTTAGTGTGACCATATACATTTCTCTCTTCACCTGAAACTTTGTCAGAGGAATCCTAGTTACTAGTAATTCAATGAAAAACCTGCAAAAGTATAGGCAAATTAGTCTAGTAAGGACTCCAATTAGTTTTCAAAAGTGAAAGGAGTTTCAAACCAGTTCTGAAAAATTCCAAAGTAGACCCACTCTGAATTCTGCTATAAAGTTCTTGCAGTTGGATAGTTCTTTAGTTTTCAAAGTGCTTCATATCTGTCCTACCATCTGATCCTTCCAATGATCCTGTGAGACGGAGCAGTTATTCCAGTCCCAGTTTAATGGAGGAGAAAATTGAGGCCCAATAGATTTCTTTATTTGGTAAAAAAAAAAAAAATGACTGAGCACCTATGGGTACCTAGCATTGTGCCAGATGTTGGGGATCCAGCGATGAGTAAGAGAGACCCCAAACCTCCAAGGAGCTAATAGTCTAGTTGAGAAGAGTGTCATATACAAAACTTTCAATGTAAAATGACCAGTGTGATGATAAAATAAAGGTAGGTGGTGGGTGGCTCAGATGAAGTAATTCACTTATAATAATAATAGTAAAGTCTTCATTGTTCTAAGCGATGTGCATATATTTACTAATTTAATCCTCATACCAACTCTGTAAGGTGCATATTGTTATTATCTCCATTTCATACATGAGGAAACTGAGGTTCAGAGAAGTTTAATTTATCCAAGACTACACATGCCTAGTAAATGGCAGAACTAGTCAGTCTGTCCTGAGTCTATGCTCTTAATCACTGTTATACTTCCTCCCACTGTGATTATTGTAGTAATCCAGTTGAGAGTTAATAAAGGCCTAAACAAAATTAGTGGCATCAGGGATAGAAAGAAATGATGAGAATTATTTAAAAGACATTAAAGACAGAACTTCTTCAATCATTGGGTATACTGGTGAGGGAGAAAGTCATCTGGTTTGGAAGACTGGATAGAATAGAAATTTATTCAGAAGGAAGCGGAGATCTAAGCTAGAGGGACTTTTAGGATAGCCAAAGGGAGATGTCTATTAGGCAGATGGAAGGAGTTCCTTCTAAATTTGAGAAGTGGAAATCACAAACCTAGGTGAGTGACTAAAACCATGAGAACAGATACCACTGCTCAAGGAGAGATGACCAAGTCACAGCCAATAGCTTCATGAGGACTTTAATTTATTATTTGTCCAGAATAGTGTATAAAAAAGAAATGGAATTGAACCAGTCATCAGAATATAAAAAATTTGAGATATTTCACATAAAATCCATTATTTTCTAACACTACTGAAAAACTGAACGAGTTGGCTATATTGGGCCTATATGGTTATTTGTGGAAGTAAATAATATTGCTTATTATACATAAACAAAGGTATCACTATGCAAATACAGGTTCAATATGTAATGTGTTTAATATGAAAGGAGTCTGCTTCATTCATCTTCACATCCTGGCCCCTGTGGATATTTGAATTTTCCCTCCCTCCAGTATAGCAAAAAGAGGGGAGAGTCCTGGAATATATCAGGTAGAAAGTCCATAAAGGGAACTGCTAAAATGGTTGAAAGGTGTGAGGAAAGCCAAAAGCAAGAGATACAGTAGAATCCAAAAGAAGATAATGTTTCAAGGAGGGCTTGGTAACACCTTCAAATGCTACAAAGAAATCAAGTAAGGTAAAGACTGACAATTGTCCATTGTGTTTAGCATTGAAGGAGTCACTAGTGACCTTGGCAAGAGCAGCTTCAGTGGAGCAGAGTTGGTGGGAGGGAGACTGCAATGGGTTAAAGGATAAAGTAGGAGGTTAAGAAGTAGAGACACTGAGTGTATATTACATCATATACTGAAGCTTGAATAGGAAGACATGAAGTATCTCTCTTATTAGGCAATCTCATCCAAGATCCTGCCTCCAATTGTCATCTATATTGTCAATGATTCACAATTTTTAGCTCAAGCTCAGAAGTCTTCTCTGAGTTTATTCCCATATATGCAATGCCTTGCTTAATACCTTGTTCTAATTTCTTCAAAGACACCCAAATTTGAAATATCTAAAACCCAACTTGCCATCTCCCTTACATTTAGTCTTTTTCTTGTGTTTCTCAAATCACTGAATGTATGACCACCATTTGGTTGTATGGGTCAGAAACATGGAAATCATTCTTTTATCTCCCCCTCCCCCATTCTCATATCTAAATTTACTCCCCAAATTTCTTTATTATGCTTATTTCTACAAATCGATATTCCTATTCCCTATTTCAAGAAGAAGCATCATCTTTTTCATGGACCACAGCAATAGCCTGCTAATTGGTTTCTACCTCAACATATTTTGATTCCCTATAATCTGATCTCTATATTTTTTTTTCAAAATTTAAACCTCATCATGTAACTTGTTTAAAATCTCTCAATTTATTCCCATTCTGTTTAAAATAAATCCATACTCCAATTCTTAAAATGTCCCATACAGCCTTGCAATGTCTGGCTCCTACACATCTCTCCCTCCCTCTCTACACTCAGTACTCTTGAAGGGGTCATCCCCTCTTTTGCTTCAAGGCCTTTGCACATGCAGTTCTCTTTGTCTGCAACTGCCTCCTCCCAGTTGACTCCAAATTATAATTTAAACCTCAGTTCAAACGGACAACCAGAATACAACAGGTCTTCCTGTTTTAAGCCTTCATACCACTTTGTGCCTTCCCTTCAGAGTACTTATTATAGTTTGTTATATTTGTATGATTGCCTGTTTTTTTTTTTCTGCCCCTCACTGGATTATAACCTTTTTAAATTCAGAGATCACATCCATTCACAATTGTATGCCTCCTGCTTAGCACCATGCTAGACATAGACTAGCTATACAGGAAATGTTTACTGATCCAGTAAATGGTAAAATGAATAAATGAAAAAAGACACAAAGTCAAAGAGATGTGCTTTATGGTACCATATTTATATGCTGAGAAGAAACAGCAAGTCGAAAAAGAGACATTAAAAATATAAGAGAGAGAGGATAGTTTTTGGAGTACTTTTCTGAAAATGTTAGAGATAAGGGTTGAGTTAGGTACCTATAACACAGATGGAAGAGGCCCTCTTTGAAAATATTAATGTATTTGAGAAACTTAATGGGTGTTGATTGGCTCGTGCATATTAAAGGCCCATACATAAGTCTTAAGGAAAAATCTCTTACTAGGGGTATTGCTCATTCAGGCTTTAAGGCCTGACCTCCGATCTTTCTTTTTTGTTTTTGTTGTTGTTGTTGTTGTTGTTGTTGTTGTTGTTTTTGTTTTTGTTTTTTGTTTTTTTTATATGAAATTTATTGTCAAATTGGTTTCCATACAACACCCAGTGCTCATCCCAAAAGGTGCCCTCCTCAATACCCATCACCCACCCTCTCCTCCCTCCCACCCCCCATCAACCCTCAGTTTGTTCTCAGTTTTTAACAGTCTCTTATGCTTTGGCTCTCTCCCACTCTAACCTCTTTTTTTTTTTCTTTCCCCTCCCCCATGGGTTCCTGTTAAATTTTTCAGGATCCACATAAGAGTGAAACCATATGGTATCTGTCTTTCTCTGTATGGCTTATTTCACTTAGCATCACACTCTCCAGTTCCATCCACGTTGCTACAAAAGGCCATATTTCATTTTTTCTCATTGCCACGTAGTATTCCATTGTGTATATAAACCACAATTTCTTTATCCATTCATCAGTTATGACCCAGCAATAGCACTGCTAGGAATTTATCCAAGGGATACAGGAGTACTGATGCATAGGGGCACTTGTACCCCTATGTTCAGAGCAGCACTCTCAACAATAGCCAAATTATGGAAAGACCCTCCGATCTTTCAAAAGGGCCACACTGGTTATTATGGGATGAGCTGGGAAACATATAATGTGTGGATGTATTTAACCTATATAAATCTTTGAAAAAACTTGACTCTTTTGAAGAAGGCTAAAGACAGAATCATTTACTCTCACTATTATCATCATCAGTATTCTAAAAACATACATAGTAGATTGCTCTCTATCATCACTAAAATTACCCAAGTAACTCCAAGGAGGCCATAACCTCTGGGGGTAGGAAATAGAGGAAAAAGATGCTCCAATATAAGTGGCCTACAAGTCATAGATACTTAGGTTCAAGTAATATGAGCTGTGAGCATGGATAGTACTAAATGGGGAAGGGGATGCCTTTCAATTTTCTCATCTATAAAATAGTATGGTACTACCTACCTTATAAGATTATTGTAAAAAAATGACATTGCCCATGTAAGCAACTAGAACACTGCTTAGCACTGAATAAACCCTCGGACGACAGTACCTTTCTTCTTTTGCAGATGCAGGAGAAATACTCCTGGAAAAAGCATCCATGTTTATAAAAGTTTTAAGATATACTACAGCAGGAAGTCATTTAACAGCAATATCTGAGACCCAATTTATTTTGGATTAATGATATTCAAGTATCTATCTTAATATCTGAAGAGTACAATAATTGAAAAAAAAGACATTTATTTAATAAAGTATGGTAAATAATATTGCACATAAAGAATAGTAAGAAATGAATGAGTTTAAATGTATATGTCCCCAATACTTTTACATAATATAAATTTATGCCAATTACCTAAATGATATATTCATTACCATCGCACATCCCCATATTTTTGCTGATAAGGTAAATTTTGTTTTCCTACTTCTGTCAATTCATTCAGTTTTAACATTTTTATGGTTGTACTTTCTTGTTTTTTTATTTCTATTAAATGGATTAAAGCATGGAATATGGCATATAAACATACAAACACATGTATTGTTTGTGTAAATGCAATTTAACGTTTCAAAATAGTTATTATTCACCAAAACATGTTAACAACCTTGAATTGTCATAAATCCTGATATTACTAGTGAGCACATTGTGACAGCATTACATCTATGCACAATGGGCAAACTTCCATTATTTTAAGGGTATGAGTTTTAAAATAATCATTTCCCTAAGAAAAAGCAATTTTTCAATAACAATCCTATTATTTTGATCCTTCACTTGCGTAAATTCCCAGATTAAATGTTTTCTAATGCACATTCTTTGTTTTGACAGAAATCCTTTTCACTCTTTTTTTCTTTAGCATTCCTATCCAACCTCCAGAAACTATGACCACATAAGCTCCAATATCCACCCAGACAAATTTCATCAAGTGTGAAAAACAAAGTTCCAAATCATATCAGGCATACCTGAGGTAGAATTTCAAGGAGCTGGTAATTGTCTTAATGTCCCAGTCACTATAATGAAAATCAACATCTCCTGGACATTTAGGATCTATTAGAGAAAAAAAAATATGAAAAAAGTTAATGTTCCAAAAGTTCTTATTTTTACCCCTTTAAAAGAAAAATAAAGTTCATTAGAGATGAAAACTTTGTACAACAAACGTCTTTGATGCCTCAAAAATTTCCTTGCATTCCAGTCAGTCATGTAAGAAGCTTGGAAGTCATCTCTTCTACCCACACAACAAGAAAAAAGGTGTAATAAACCAAAAATCAACTCCTCTTAGATCTATCAGAGAACTGAGGTCACTGAACTACTGTCCCCAAACTGAAGAAATAGACAGGCATATACAGGAAATCAAAACTTATTAGAGCAGGAGCCCAGGAGCAGAAAATTCTTTGGGAACCAGTACAAGTTTAGGAAAACCTAATCTGCAATTGATGAATTGCTAGAGGTTCAGTGTGGACAGGTTTGAGAGTTAAAAATTCTCAGGGGGCCTGGTCCTATGGGGACTCCCACACTTTTGTGAATTTTACTATCAAGTTCTCATGGTGAAGATGTGAGAAAAATTTACTCATGTTTCTGTGCTTCTGAGAGGGCAAAAGAGGAAAAGTAGCTCTTTAAAAAATATGCACAACACATTTCATTCTTCTTAGTGAAGCCTACCATTAAGAGAAACTATTTTACCAGATCCTAATGTGATGGGATTTTACTAGAACTTAACTGAACTAGGAAAATGAAAATACCCAACTCCATACCTGGACTGCCTTCCTGTCTAAGGGGAAAAACCGAAATCATACTGAGAAGTATTTGTGAGGGTCACTGGCCAGCGGCAGAGACTCACTAAAAGACATAATGATAGGATTATAGAATGTTACCCTTCCCCCCACAAATTACCACAACATCAATAGTCCTCCTGAATAGTAACAGGGGAATGCAACTAAAAGAACGGTGCTTCTTAGATAATATTTAAGAAGTCTCTAGGGAAAACCGAAGACAACAGAGGAAATAAAAACAAGGTAATCAGAGATAACTGTAGCCTCTGACACATATGGTTACAGCAAACATAAACACAGGCTAAATTCTAGCAGCTAAACAAAACCTCACAGGATAGGCTTATTCACTTCAGTTCTTTTTATCATTACATCGTGTAAAGCTTACAACAAAAATTGTAAGACATACTAAAGACAAAAGACCAAAAAAAAAAAAAAAAAAAAAGCAAACAAACCAAAAACACAGTTTGAAGAGACACAGCATACCAAGTATCAGAACCAGGCTCAGATATGGCAGAGATGTTGGAATTATCAGACTGGGAATATTACACAAGTATGATTAATATGCTATGGACTGTAACGGATAAATGGACAACATAAAAAAGGAGATAAATTAGGTAAGCAGAGAGATAGAAGCTTTAAGAACCAAAAGGAAATTCTAGAAATCAAAAACACCATAACATAAATGAAGAATTCCCTTAATAAGCTCATCTATGAACTGGACACAGTTGAGGAAATAATGAGTGAGTCTGAAGAAATGTCAATAGAAATTTTGAAAAGAAAAGAGGAAAAAGAAAGAAAAAGACAGAATATCCAAGAACTGTAACATAATAACAAAAGGTGTAACATACATGTAAGGGGAATATCAGAAGAAGGAAAAAAAAAGGAATAGCAGAAATATCTGAAATAATAATGATTGAGAATTTCCCGAAACCAATGATAAACATGACAGCACAGATCCAGTAAGCTCAGAAAACACCAAGCAGGTTATACACCAAAACAATCCACACTTAGGTATAACATATTCAACTAAACAAAATCAAAGACAAAACATCTTGATAGAAGTCAGAAGGAAAACAAAACCAAAAACAAAAACGATCTTGCCAAAGTTGGAGAAGGATAAGAATTACATCATACTAATCTTTCAGAAACCACGCAAAAAAGAAGAGAATGGAGTGAAATATTTAAAGTATTCAAAGTAAAGAAGACCAGACTGAATTATGTACGCAGTAAAATTATCTTTTAAAAGTGAAGGAGAAATAAAGACTCTTTCAGATACAGAAATATGGAGGAACTCTGTCAACGGTAGACCTGCCTTGCAAAAGATATTAAAAGAAGTTCTCACAAGAAAGTTGAGGTCAAAAACTCACATCTATATGAAGAAAGAAATAGCATTGGAGGAGGAATTAATGATGGTAAATAAAACTTTGTATTTGACTTAATCTTTCTTGGCCTAACAGGTAAAGTTCAAAATAATATAAACAATGTATCCAGTAATTATAGCTTATGAAAAAGTGAAATGAATGATAATAATATTAATGAGGATTAGAGACAGTAATTAAGAATAATACTTTGTCATAAGGTACTGGCACTACTTGTGTAGTAGCATAGTGTTATTTGAGAGAGGATCTAAATAACATGAATGTATATTAAAAATATAAGGGCAATACTGGGAGGAGAGGGAAGATGGCGGCGGAGGAGGACTCTGGGCTCACTGCGCGTCCTGCTGATCACTTAGATTCCACCTACACCTGCCTAAAAAACCCAGAAAACCGCCAGAGGATTAGCAGAATGGAGTCGCTGGAGCCAAGCACAGACTAGAGGCCCACGGAAGAGGGTAGGAAGGGCGGTGAGGCAGTGCGCGCTCCACAGACTGATGGGAGGGAGCCGGAGCAAAGGGGCGGCTCACTGGCCAAGCAGAGCCCCCGAGTCTGGCTTGCAAAAAGCGGAGGGGCCTGACGGACTGTGTTCCGACAGCAAGCGCGACTTAGCCGCTGGGAGGTCGTAAGTTAACAGCTCTGCTCAGAAAGGGGGAAGGCTGGAGGACAAAGGGAAGGAGAGCCGCTGAGCACCCGGACGACAGAGCTCAGTTTGGTGGGGAACAAAGGCGCTCGCCAGCGCCATCTCCCCCACCCATCCACCAGCCAAAATCCCAAAGAGAACCAGATCCTGCCAGGGAACTTGCTCGCTCCGCGCAAACACCCAACTCTGCGCTTCTGCGGAGCCAAACCTCCGGCAGCGGATCTGACTCCCTCCTGCTGCCACAGGGCCCCTCCTGAAGTGGATCACCTAAGGAGAAGCAAGCTAAGCCTGCCCCTCCTGCCCCTGTGCACCTTGCCTACCCACCCCAGCTAAGACGCCAGATCCCCAGCATCACAAGCCTGGCAGTGTGCAAGTAGCCCAGACAGGCCACCCCACCCCACAGTAAATCCCGCCCCTAGGAGAGGGGAAGAGAAGGCACACACCAGTCTGACTGTGGCCCCAGCCGTGGGCTGGGGGCAGACATCAGGTCTGACTGCGGCTCCGCCCACCAACTCCAGTTATACACCACAGCACAGGGGAAGTGCCCTGTAGGTCCTCACCACACCAGGGACTATCCAAAATGACCAAGCGGAAGAATTCCCCTCAGAAGAATCTCCAGGAAATAACAACAGCTAATGAGCTGATCAAAAACGATTTAAATAATATAACAGAAAGTGAATTTAGAATAATAGTCATAAAATTAATCGCTGGCCTTGAAAACAGTATAGCTGACAGCAGAGAATCTCTTGCTACAGAGATCAAGGGACTAAGGAACAGTCACGAGGAGTTGAAAAACGCTTTAAACGAAATGCATAACAAAATGGAAACCACCACGGCTCGGACTGAGGAGGCAGAGGAGAGAATAGGTGAACTAGAAGATAAAGTTATGGAAAAAGAGGAAGCTGAGAAAAAGAGAGATAAAAAAATCCAGGAGTATGAGGGGAAAATTAGAGAACTCAGTGATACACTCAAAAGAAATAATATACGCATAATTGGTATCCCAGAGGAGGAAGAGAGAGGGAAAGGTGCTGAAGGGGTACTTGAAGAAATCATAGCTGAGAACTTCCCTGAAGTGGGGAAGGAAAAAGGCATTGAAATCCAAGAGGCACAGAGAACTCCTTTCAGACGTAAATTGAATCGATCTTCTGCACGACATATCATAGTGCAACTGGCAAAATACAAGGATAAAGAGAAAATTCTGAAAGCAGCAAGGGGTAAACGTGCCCTCACATATAAAGGGAGACCTATAA